ACAACCAAAGCAAAAATGGGCAAATGGGATCATATCGTAGCAAAAACCTGCACAGCAAAGGAAACAATCAATAAAGTGAAGAGATAATGTACAGAATGGGAAAAATGTATTTGCACACTAGTCAACTGACAAGGGATTGATAACCAAAATATATAAGGAACTCAACTCACTAGTAAAAATGAATAAATAATCCAATTTAAAAATGAATGAAATATCTGAGTAGGCATTTCTCAAAAGAAGGCATACAAAGGGCCAACAGGTATATGAATAAATAGTCAATATCACTAATCATCAGGGAAATTCAAATCAAAACCCTGGTGAGATTTCATGTCATCTCCAATTAAAATGGCTATCAGCAAAAAGACAGAAAATATCAGCAGTAATGTTTGGGAAGAAGGAAAATAAGTTTAAAAAAATTAAAAATGCTGATAAGGATGCAGAGAAAGGGGGATGCTTGTATACTGTTAATGGGAATATAAATTAGTACAATCACTATGGAAAACAATATAGAGATTCCTCGGAGAGATCCAAGATGGCTGATCGCTAACAGTTTGGGATTGTAGCTCCCAGTCAAAGCGCAGAGAACGAGAGGACGCCACACTTTCAGACAAATTTTTGTCGCTCACGGACCAGAAGATTCCCAGTGGAGGGGCCCCACGGGTCGCCAGCGCGACTCTTGTGGCTGGCGCAGTGGTTTTGCCAGTGCTTCGGTGTGGCAGCTCTTCGTGCAGAGTAAACGGGAGGAGATTCCCGGGCAGAAGAGCACCATCAGTCTTATCGCTGCTGTTTTGGCCAGCGCAGTGGGTTGCTCGGATTCCAGTGCTGGGAATCAATAAACTGGGCATCCACTCAGAAACTTAACTAGAAAGGTGGTAATTGTAAAGATGACAGATGGATAAATTTATAACAAAGGGAAGAAACCAGCTTAAAAAGGCTGAGAATACCCAAAATCAGAACCCCTCTCCCTCTACAGGGGATTACAGTTCCTCATCAGCAACAGAACAAGCCCTGATGGAAAAGGACTGTGTGCTATTAGAAGTAGGCTTCAGAAGGTGGATGATAAGAAACTTCTGGAAGTTAAAAGAACTTGTTCTAATGCAATGTCAAGAAACTAAGAACTTTGAAAAAAGGTTTGATGAAATGCTAATGAGAATAGACAATATAGAGAGGAATATAAATGAACTAACAGAGTTGAAAAACACAACACAAAAAACTTAGTGAAATATGCACAAGTTTGAATAGCCGAATTGATCAAACAGAAGAAAGGATATCAGAGGTCGAAGACCTACTTAATGAAATAAAACAAGAAGACAAGAATAGGGAAAAAAGGATAAAAAGGAATGAGCAAAGTCTCCAAGAAATATGGGACTATGTGAAAAGACCTAATTTACGTTTGATAGGTGTACATGAATACGACGAAAAGAATGAATCCAAGCTGGAAAATACTCTTCAGGATATTATTCAGGAAAACTTTCTGAATCTAGCAAAGCAGCACAATATTCAACCCCAGGTAATACAGAGAACACCACAAAGATATTCCTCAAGAAGAGCAACCCCCAGGCACATAATCATTAGATTCACCAGGGTTGAAAGGAAGGAGAAAATACTAAGGGCAGCCAGAGAGAAAGGTCAGGTTACCCACAAAGGGAAGCCTATTAGACTTACAGCAGATCTCTCAGCAGAAACCCTACAAGCCAGAAGAGAGTGAGGGCCGATATTCAACATCCTTAAAGAACAGAACCTTCAGCCCAGAATTTCATATCCTGCCAAACTAAGCTTCACAACTGAAGGAAAATAAAATCTTTTATGAACAAGCAAGTACTCAGAGATTTTATTACCACCAGGCCTGCTTTACAAGAGCTTCTGAAAGAACCATTATACATAGAAAGGAACAACCAGTATTAGCCTTTCTAAAAATATACCAAAAAGTAAAGAGCATCAACATAAAGAAGAATTTACATCAACGAATGGATAAAATAGCCAGTTAACATCAAATGGCAGTAATCCTAAATTTAGGTCGACTAAATCCCCCAATCAAAAGATACAGCCAAAACCTAACGATATGCTACATCCAAACCCATTTTACAACCAAAGATACACAAAGATTTAAAACAAAGGGATGGAGAAAGATTTACCAACCAAATGGAGAGCAAAAATAAATAAATAAATAAAAAGCAGGAGTTGCAATTCTCGTATCTGATAAAATAGATTTCAAAGCAACAAAGATATAGTGGTAAAAGGATCAATGCAACAATAAGAGCTAACGATACATAACACCCAGATACATAAAACTCATAAAGAGATTTAGAATCAACAAGACAGAAAATTAATAAGGATATCCAGGACTTGAACTCAGATACGGAACAAGTAAACTCAATAAATATTTATAGAGCTCTCCATTTTAAATATACAAAATATACATTCTCCACCTTAAATACACAAAATATTGATTGGCCATTATTAATACCCATTTTTAGAATAAAGTTACATTCCTGTTTTCTCTCCCTCTTTTTCTTCCTCTTTCTTCCTCTCCTTCACTCCTTTTTTTCTTTCTTTCAAAAAAAAAATTAACCCCACATGAGTGAGAACTTGTGACATTTGTGCTTCTGTGTTTGTCTTATCTAACTTAACAGTGACCTCCAGTACCATCCATGTTGTTGCAAATGACAGAATTTTGTTCTCTTTTATGGCAGAATAATATTCCACTGTGTACATATACCTCATTTAAAAAAATTCATTTATTTGTTGATGGGCACTTAGATTGATTTCATATCTTGGCTATTATGAATAGGGCTGCAATAAACATGGGAGTACAGATACCTTTTTGATATACTGAATTCCTTTCTCTTGGATCTATACCTAGCAGTGAGATTGCTGGATCATATGGTAGTTCCATTTTTAGTTCCTTGAGGAATCTTCAGACCCTCTCTGTAAGCAGATCATCCTGTCACCTCTGCAACCATCAGCAGAGAGGAGGCCCTGGAGTGGGTAGCTTCTCTCTGCAGCCATTTTAACTGGAGATGACATGAAATCTCACTGGGGTTTTGATTTGAATTTCCCTGATGATTAGTGATATTGACTATTTATTCGCATACCTGTTGGCCCTTTGTATGCCTTCTTTTGAGTTAAAAAAAATTGATCTCATGAAGGTAGTAAATGGAATGGTGTTTTTGAGAAGGTGAGAAGGGTGGTAGGGAGGAAGAAATAGAGTAGGGTTGGTTAATGAATACAAAAATGCAATTAGAGCCTGGGTGTGGTGGCTTACGCTTGTAATCCCAGCACTTTGGGAGGCTGAGGCAGGCAGATCACTTGAGGCCAGGAGTTTGAGACTAGTCTAGCCAACATGGTGATACCCCATCTCTACTAAAAATTAAAAAAAAAAATTAGCTTGGTATAGTAGCAGGCGCCTGTAATCCCAGCTACTCAGGAGTCTGAGGGAGGAGAATCGCTTAAACCTGGGAGCAAGAGGCTGAAATGAGATGAGATGGCTCCACTGCATTCCAGCCTGGGCACCAGAGCAATATTCTCTCGCAAAAAGCAACACAAAACAAAATACAATTAGAATAGAAGAAATAAGATCTTGTGCTTAGTAGCACAATAGGGTGAGTATAATTAAGTATAATTTATTGTATATTTCAAAATGACTAGAAGAGTAGATCTGGAATGTCCCCAACACAAATAAATGATAAATGCTTGAAATAATAGATATTCCAATTATCCTGATTTAATCATTACACATTGCATGCTTGTATCAAAGTATCACATGTACCCATATATTGTATAACTATTATCTATCCATAAAAATAGAAGATAAAAAAATAAAATGAATAAAGTATAAAAATCACAGGCTAATTTTAATTGAGAAAAATGCATTTCATAAAAATCACCATCTTTAATGTTTAAAATTATATCAAACTAGGATGACAAGAAAAATTCCTCAATCTGATAAATAGTAACTACAAAAAGTAAGCTTCAGCAAACATCATATTTAATGGAAATTATTGAGTGCTTTCTTTCTATCAGAACTAAGATAAGGATATTAGTTCCCAGCTACTTGGGAGGCTGAGGCATGAGAATCACTTGAACTCAGGAGGCAGAGGTTGCAGTGTGCCAAAATGATGCCATTGTACTCCGGCCTGGGTGACAGAGTGAAACTGTGTTTCTCAAAAATATATTTATTTTTAATATAAAATTTTAATATTTATATGTAAAATATACAAATACATTTTATTTTATTTATATACATATGCATATAGAGCTATAGAAAAAATACTGTAAGGCTATTTTAATTTTTATTCAGCGTTGTTCTTAAGGTTCTAAGCAGTCCAATAAGTAAAGAAAAAGAATTTTTAAAATGGGCCAGGCGCAGTGTCTCATGGCTGTAATCCCTGCACTTTAGAAGGCCGAGACAGGCAGATCACCTGAGGTTCAGGAGTTCAAGACCAGCCTGACCAACATGGAGAAACCCTGCCTCTACTGAAAATACAAAATTAGCCAGGCATGGTGGCACATGTGTATAATCCTGGCTACTTGGGAGGTTGAGGCAAAAGAATCACTTGAACCTGGGAGGTGAAGGTTGCAGTAAGCTGAGATCATGCCATTGCACTCCAGCCTGGGCAACAAGAGTGAACTTTCATCAAAAAAAAAAAAAGAATTTAAAAAACAACTATCTGAAAGAAATCACTACACACATTACATGATTGTGAATCTATAGATAAACTATAAGAATTATTAAGTTAATTGAGTAGAGTTGCTCTATGCAAGGTAAATACACAATTTAAATTATTATTGTCAATATACCAGTCTCAAAAAAACTAAAAAAGGACATTAAAATATGCCACTTACGGCCGGGCGTGGTGGCTCATGCCTGTAACCCAGCACTTTGGGAGGCCGAGGCGGGTGGATCACCTGAGGTCAGGAGGTCGAGACCAGCCTGGCCAACGTGGTAAAACCCTTTCTCTACCAAAAATACAAAATTAGCTGGGCATGGTGGCACGTACCTGTAATCCCAGCTACTTGGAAAGCTGAAGCAGGAGAATTGCTTGAACTCAGGAGGCAGAGGTTGCAGTGAGTCAAGACAGCACCCTTGCACTGTAGCCTGGGCAAAAAGAGCAAAACTCCATCTCAATAAATAAATCAATAAAATATAATATGCCACTTATAAGGCTGGGTGCATTGGCTCATGCCTGCAATCCCAGCACTTTGAGGTCGAGGTGGGTGGATCACTTGAAGTTAGCAGTTTGAGACCAGCCTGGCCAACATGGCGAAACCCCGTCACTATTAATAATGCAAGGAATAGCTAGGCATGGTGGCATGCGCCTGTAATCCCAGCTACTTGGGAGGCTGAGGCATGAGAATCACTTCAACCTGTAATCCCAGCTACTTGGGAGGCAGAGGCTGCAGTGTGCCAAAATCATGCCACTGCACTCCAGCCCGGGTTACAGAGTGAAACTGTGTCTCAAAATATATATACTTTTTATATACTTTTTTAATATTTATATATAAAATATATAAATATTTTCATTTATACGATATATGTGCATACTATATATATACATATGTGACACTTATAAAAGAAATAGAAAATAATTACGAATAAATCCAGTGAATAATATGCCAGGTTTCTACATAGAAAACTATAAAACATTATCAAAAAATTTTAATAAGACTTATTAAATTTAATAACATCCATATTCATGGATCAGAAAATTTAACATGGTAAAGGCTTTCATATTAATTGATGTACATACTTAATATAATCCCAATACAAATTCCAGTAGGGTTTTTTTTTTGGTGGAATTTATAAAGTTATCCTAAAGTTTATGTGGAAATACAGAAGTTCAAGAATAGCCAAGACAATCTTGGGGAAGACTAGAGACATGAAAGACTTATTCTACCGTATATCAAAACTTACTGCAAAGTTACACTAATGGAAACAGGGTGTAAGTGGCAGAAAGAGAGGTTAATGGACAAATGGAAAAGAATGGAGATTCCAGAACAATATTAGATAGGCAATTGATTAATAACAAAAGTGGGAAATCACTAGTCTTTTCAGTACATGATGCTGGGTTGATTGAATATCCATACAGAAAAAAATAAAAGGGAAATTTGACCTCATATCATACCTGAAAATCAATTCCAGATGAAACAACATTGCCAGAATTACACTGCCACTCGCCACAATTAATCTAAATTAATTAAAAGTAAATAAAATTTAAAATTCATTTCATCATACGTATTATTTCAGACAAGATTGATACAATCATTTTGGAAAACTGATAATATCTGTAAAATACTCAGGGTGGTATGGCTGTAGACCATATGTACTATTTCAGTTGCTCAGTAGCCATATGTGGTTAGTGCTATTTCAAGTGCTCAATAGCCATTCAGTGGCTACATGTTGGACAATGCAGATATAGAATATTTCCATTACTGCAGAAAGTTCAAGTGGACAGTGCTTGCTGTTCTAGAAGATATAGAATATCTTTAAAACTGGGTAAGATAAAATTTGTTATATGAGATTTTAAAAAGGTACTAACCTTAAAAGAAAAGCTTGAACAATTGGACTTTATTAGATTATAAACTCCCTTTCAACAAATAACACTATAAAGAGCATGAAAATGCAAGACACAGAATGGTATGAGCCAGGACTGGGGTGAGGCAAGTGAGGCTCTTGCCTTGGACACAATTCTTTTTTTTTTTTTTTCCAAGTGCTTCTACATGGAAGGACACAATTCTTTAAGGGGGTGACAAAAATACACAGTAATCAGAAGAAATAAAAATTTAATCCATATTTTAAAAAATCAAATTTAATGCAAAAAAATCTATGGTGAACAAAATATCAAATTTTAAAATAAAGACAGGAATCAGTATTTTTATTTTTTATTTTGCCTCACCTTCAATATGACTTGACATAGCCTTGTCGGAGATGATATTTGCAACATGTACACAACAAAGAGCTCAAATCTGTATTTAAAGAACTCTTAGAGGTCAATAAAAATGTCAGACAACCCAATAGAAAAAAAGGTTCGGGGGGAGGACTCAAGATGGCGCTGTGAGAACAACCCAGGATTGAAGCTCTCGGTCAATGCGCGGAGAAGGTGAGTCAGGGCCGCATTTCTAGACGAATCTTTGTTGCCCACAGAACGGGGAAATTCCCAGGTATAAAAGAGATGTGGGACGCCAGGCAGAGGCTTTGGCCAGTGTGGCGGCGGCCAACGTGGTAGCGCAGCAGTGCTACACAGCGCTCCGCACAAACTGCACTGGTCCGTGTGCCCTGTTGAACCGGCAACCTGTGACTTGAGAGGGCTGAGCTTGAGACTGAACGGGACTTGGACAGTGAGCTAGCCCAGGAGATTCCAGGGACACAGTGTTTGGGGTAGCACAGTGGGACAAACAAAACAGCGATTCCAAACGCTCCCCGTGGAGAGGTTCCCTGAGGGCACAGCTCCGTGGGGGAGGGGCGTCTGCCATTACCGAGGCAATCACCCCTACTGAGGTGCACGCCCATTGCTGACGCAGCCTGCTGTTGCCGAGGCAACCCGCTACAACAGAGAGCCTCTGCTGCAGGGTGTAGCCCGTGGCAGCAGGGCAGAGACTGCAGCAGAAGGGAAGAGCCTGCAGCAACAGGGCGAACCTCACACCAGCAGGGTGGAGCCTCGGCAGGCAAATAGTGACTAGACTGCCTCCTAGCTGGGCAGGACAGCACAGCGGACACTCAAAAATAAAGCCCCAACCCCCTCAGACAGAGCATCTGAGAAAAAAAAGGGTTTTTTAATGAGTTCTGTTGCAGCAGAATTAAACATAGCAGCCTAACAGCCCTGAATGAACAACAGAGCTCACAGCTCAGCAATTGAGCTCCTATAAAGTACAGACTGTCTCCTCAAGCAGCTCCCTGACCCCTCTATATCCAAAAGACTGACATTTGGCAGGCATCATTCTGGGACAGAGATAGCAGAAAAAGAAACTGGTAGCATCCCTCACTGTTCTGCAGCTGCTATAGGTGAACCCCAGACAAACAGGGCCTGGAGTGGACCTCAGCAGTCATACAGCGAAGGGGCTAGACTGGTAGAAGGAAAACCATGTAACAGAAATACTTCATCATCAACAATCTGGGTGTCCACTCAGAGACCCAATCGAAAAGTCAGCAACTACACAGACAACAGGTGGATAAATCCACAAAGATGGGAAGAAACCAGCACAAAAAGGAGGAAAACACCCGAAACCAGAACACCTCACCTCCTAGAAAGGACCAAAACTCCTCACCAGCAAGGGAACAAAGCTGGACGGAGAATGACTCTGACGAAATGACAGAATTAGACTTCAGAAGGTGGATAATGAGAAACTTTTGTGAGCTAAAAGAACATGTTTTAAATCAATGCAAAGAAACTAAGAACCTTGAAAAAAGATATGAAAAAAGATTCGAGGAAATGATAAGAATGGATAACTTAGAGAGGAATATGAATGAATTAAAGGAGCTGAAAAACACAATACGAGAACTTCACGAAGCATGCACAAGTTTCAATAGCCGAATTGACCAAGCAGAAGAAAGAATATCAGAAGTCGAAGATCAACTCAATGAAATAAAATGAGAAACAAAGATCAGAGAAAAAAGCACAAAAAGGAATGAACAAAGTCTCCAAGAAATGTGGGACTATGTGAAGAGACCTAACCTACGTTTGATAGGTGTACCAGAATGTGATGAAGAGAATGAATCCTAGCTGGAAAATACCCTTCAGGACATTATCCAGGAAAATTTCCCCCACCTAGCAAGACAGGCCAACACTCAAATGCAGGAAATACAGAGAACACCACAAAGATATTCCGCAAGAAGAGCAACCCCAAGGCACATAATCATCAGATTCAACAAGGTTGAAATAAAGGAGAAAATACTAAGGGCAGCCAGAGAGAAAGGTCGAGTCACCCACAAAGGGAAGCCCATCAGACTCACAGCAGATCTCTCGGCAGAAACACTACAAGCCAGAAGAGAGTGGGGGCCAATATTCAACATCCTTAAAGAAAAGAAATTTCAACCCAGAATTTCATATCCAGCCAAACTGAGCTTCATAAGTGAAGGAAAAATAAAATCCTTTGCAAACAAGCAAGTACTCAGAGATTTTGTCACCGCCAGGCCTGCTTTTCAAGAGCTCCTGAAAGAGGCACTACACATAGAAAGGAACAACCAGTACCAGCCATTCCAAAATCACACTAAATGCTAAAGAGCATCAACATAATGAAGAATCTACAACAACTAACAGGCAAAACAGCCAGCTAGCATCAAAATGGCAGTATCAAATTCACACATAACAATATTAACCTTAAATGTAAATGAACTAAATGCACCAATCAAAAGACACAGACTGGCAAATTGGATAAAAATCCAAAACCCATCAGTGTGCTGTATCCAGGAAACCCATCTCACATGCAAGGATACACAAAGGCTCAAAATAAAGGGATGGAGGAAGATTTACCAAGCAAATAGAGAGCAAAAAAAAGCAGGAGTTGCAATTCTCATCTCTGAAAAAATAGACTTTAAAGCAACAAAGATCAAAAGAGACAAAGAAGACCATTACATAATGGTAAAAGGATCGATACAACAAGAAGAGCTAACGATCCTAAACATATATGGACCCAATACAGGAGCACCCAGATACATAAGGCAAGTTCTTAATGACTTACAAAGAGACTTAGACTCCCACACAATAATAGTGGGAGACTTTAACACTCCACTGTCAATACTAGACAGATCAACCAGACAGAAAATCAACAAGGATATCCAGGACTTGAACTCAGACCTGGAGCAAGCAAACCTGATAGACATTTACAGAACTCTCCACCCCAAATCCACAGAATATACATTCTTCTCAGCACCATATCACACCTACTCTAAAATTGACCACATAATTGGAAGTAAAGCACTCCTCAGCAAATGCAAAACAACTGAAATCATAACTAACAGCCTCTCAGACCATAGTGCAATCAAGTTAGAACTCAGAATTCAGAAACCGACCCAGAACCGCACAGCTTCATGGAAACTGAACAACTGGCTCTTGAATGTTGACTGGATAAACAATGAAATGAAGGCAGAAATAAAGAAGTTCTTCGAAACCAATGAGAATGAAGACACAACATGCCAGAATCTCTGGGACACATTTAAAGCAGTCTCTAGAGGAAAATATATAGCAATAAGTGCCCATATGAGGAGAATGGAGAGATCCAAAATTGACACCCTATCATCAAAATTGAAAGAGCTAGAGGAACAAGATCAAAAAAACTCAAAACCCAGCAGAAGACAAGAAATAACTAAGATCAGAGCTGAACTGAAGGAGATTGAGACACGAAAAACCCTTCAAAAAAATCCATAAATCCAAGAGCTGGTTTTTTGAAAAGATCAACAAAATAGACAGACCACTAGCCAGAATGATTAAAAAGAAAAGAGAGAACAACCAAATAGATGCAATAAAAAATGATAAAGGGGAAATCACCACAGATTCCACAGAAATTCAAACCATCATCAGAGAATATTACAAACAACTCTATGCGCATAAACTAGTAAACCTGGAAGAAATGGATAAATTCCTGGACTCCTGTGTCCTCCCAAGCCTAAACCAGGAGGAAGCCGAAACTATGAATAGACCAATAACAAGGTCAGAAGTCGAGGCAGCAATTAAGAGCCTACCACACAAAAAAAGCCCAGGTCCAGACGGGTTCACAGCCGAATTCTACCAGACACACAAAGAGGAGCTGTTACCATTCCTTCTGAAACTATTCCAAATAATCCAAAAAGAGGGAATCCTTCCCAAATCATTTTATGAGACCAATATCATCCTGATACCAACACCCGGCAGAGACCCAACAAGAAAAGAAAACTTCAGGCCAATATCCATGATGAACATAGATGCAAAAATCTTCAATAAAATGTTGGCAAGCCGATTGCAACAGCAAATCAAAAAACTTATTCATCATGATCAAGTAGGATTCATCCCGGGGATGCAAGGCTGGTTCAACATACACAAGTCTATAAACGTAATTCACCACATAAACAGAACCAAAAACAAAAACCACATGATTATCTCAATTGATGCAGAGAAGGCATTTGACAAAATTCAACAGCCCTTTATGCTAAAAACCCTCAATAAACTCGGTATCGATGGAACATATCTCAAAGTAATAAAAGCTATTTATGACA